GAGCCCCAGACCGACACGGAGAGGGGTTCACTCTCTGCGGCGGACGCCCCCCGCGTCTTGACTGCCGGCCGGCAGGTCAGTGGACATGGGGGGGTCCTGCTCCGACAGGCTAGCTTGGCGTGCTAGCCGTCGGCGGAGGCTCTTCACGGTGAAGCGGACACAATGTCCGCACGAGCCGGGGTTGTCGATAGCGCCTCGGGCGTGTTCCAGCCCGAGGCAGGACGAGCAGACCTGGTGTGTGTCTGTGCCCGAGATCTTCAACCCGCAGCCGCAGAGTCGAGCCACCGAGTCCCTGACTCCTCTGGTGTGAGGGAGAGAGGCGTCCATCTTGTTCGCCTCGTGGCGTGGAGAGGACCCGCTCTCAACAGGTAGGTTGGGAGAAAAAAGGTGTTACCACCCTGTCCTTATTCCGGAGAAAAGGACGGTGTGGGTCTTTTATTCCCGGAGAATACTGACTGGTGTGACAGTATGCTCCTTTAATCCTTTCCTCCTCCGTGGGGAAGAGAAAAGAAAAAACGTCCTCGCTACCGTGGTGTCGATAGTGAGGGAGCGAGCTAGCAACAGGTGTGTTGCTAGCTTGAAAAAATCAGACCTACCGTACTTTCCGGGGAAAGAGAACGGCGAGGCCGATTTCAATACTAACTGGCGTTAGTATTACCGTCTTCCTGCAAAGCAGAAGGAGTAGCCGGCGAGCGCCCGTCGACCGAAATGGTTATATTTGGGTTCAGTCTGTGGACCGTTAAGCTTGTCCGGCTACTATAGAGATGTGCTCTGAAGCGAGAAGAGGTGTTTGAATGACGCATGCATCGTGGCGCAAGCTACTTATAGGGGGTGAATTCGCTGACGCTGACGTCAAGATCACCAGCCAATCAGGATTGGCGTAATGAGATTGATGCTTCTGTTTGCTCCGCGATGAGGCGCATCCCAAAGTGAGACATCGAACGGAGTGTTATGAATGAGAACTTTGTCTCTGTGCATGTGAGCAGGTCCATTGGAACAATTATGAAGTAGTTGTTTGGTTTAAGGATACCCCCGGTTCTCATTTCAGATCTAAAATGCTTAAATGGCAACCTCTTAGCCAAAGGCTTCCAACTGTTTCGCATGGCTGCCAATTTTATATCACCGTCTACATTATATTCAACAGTTGCAAACACATACAAATCACCCAATCTAACACAAGAGGCCCTCCATTTCTTTGAAGCTGCCAAACTTTTGTTTTCTCAACAAACCAGTTGTTCCAGTTATGATTTGACAGAGTCTCTTCCATACCACTGCTAAGTGACATTCTGGGCCTTTCATTAATGAAAAACATTAAAAAGCCCTTGGGAAAAAAAAGTGAACAATAGCCAAATTAATTAAAAACATTGCAAAACTCAACAACGGCTTCATTAAGCATAATAAGAGTCTAATTCATTCATAATAGAAACACATTTTGTCAAATGAATAATGGCTAAGGCTTTGAACAATCCTGCAGACAAAATGTTAATTTAGTGGCATGCTTTATCTCCTTTTTGCAACATGATTGCTAAAATACAATGAAGCAATGTCTATTGAAGCCCCGTTATCACAAGTTAATATATAATATACAGTATTGTAATATAAAAATATATATATATATATATATTTATATCACATATTAGTAAGTCGTGAGCAGGAATACCAAGCACGGATTTTACTTTTCAGGTTGATTTTCACTTGCTATTATTTTAGACATACAAAGGTAACAATAAGGATTTTACAACAAAATATTGAGAAAAAACAAGCAGAACAAAAACTATTTTAACATTTATGTGGTTAACTTCTTAAGAATTAGAGGACAGAAAGCTGAACAACATTTCCAAAATAACATGATTGCCGTCTAGAGAGAAGATGAATATGGATACATAATGCCTGGTGCTTTATGTTGAGTAGACATTCATCCAAACTACATCAAAAAAATCCATAATTAGCAAATGTGACTTTAGGTTTAGGATCGAGCGTAAAAAAGACTGCGGCTCCAGCCATGGCATGACCCACTTTTTCCTTGAGTTAAACTTTGTGAGTGTTGTCTGATATAATTACTAGGAGACACTTGATTTCTACTGACAGCAGCAACATCACTTGTTGAGTCACACATCAAATGGAGTTCTGCCATAACGGTGTAATCTCTGTAACTACCCGTGGTGTGACTTTGATCTTGGCTGTGTGTCTGACATCTTTAAGCCTGCCTGACCCTGCTGGGGCTCAGAGAGAGAGAGAGAGAAAGAGGGGAATGGTTAACAGGCCATTTTATCTGTGTGTTGTGTCCTTCAGTGCGTGAATGGTTTCATTTCCAGCTTTCTGTTTCATTGCTCAACAAAAGGAGTCCTTACACGGGCAGCAGTGTCAGGCCCGTCCAAAACTATTTAGGTCAAACTGAGAGAGGGAGATAAGAGGGGTCTATTGAGACTCATTGTTGGGCGTACTGCATAGTCCGAGAGACTTGAGAGGGACAGATGGAGAGAGCAGTGGAGACAAAAGTGAAAAAAGTGGAGGGAGAGGGACAGAGGATATCAAGGAGAAAAACAGACACAATCTTTGGACTCCATGGGGAGGGGAAAGATGGGAAATAAAGCACTCAAAGCAATTTGGGGGGAGAAAGAAATGGAAGAGCGTGGCATATCAAAGCGGTTCCTTTAAGTTTAGGAGAAACTGAGGAAGGTACAGCCAGGAGTGATAAGTGGCCTCTATTGAATCTCAGAAAAGTGACGGCGCTAGAGGAGAGAGAGAGAGGTTGGAAGTGAAAAGGCAATGGAGGAAAATGCGGAAGAATTCCTGAAAGGCAACAAAGGAATCCAAAAAGCAGCGAGTGCCTTGAATGGCAGCGAGCGTGAACAGAAAGGAAAACAATGGGGGGAAAACTTGGTGTGAGGAGGAGGAACAGTCAAATAAATAAGTGATAAAGAAAGAGTAATATGCTGCCGACTCTTCAGGAGGAATTTTAATTAGGCGGATAATGTTGTGGCTGGTATTTTGCTCTCTCTCTCTCTCTTACCGTGGAAATGAAGAGCCCTCCGAAATGTTATCTGTATCCTCCTGAAGGGTTATATCACTCTCACTCTCACACACACATACACACACATAAAAAGACCACCTTGGGATTCAAGAGGTAATGTCACACAGATAGCCAGCCAGTAATACGTTATCGGCCCTCTCCTCGGCTCCAGTCAGTTACCCGGGGCCTCCTCTGTTTTATAGGAGCCGCAATAATGACACAATCCCGCAACTATTACTATAAAATGAGTGTGTCTGTGTGAGTGTCTGAACATGATGCATCCCTGCCAGGACGCAGGACATGGTTGGGCCACAGAATGAAGAAGAGTGACAGAAACGTCTCTCAGCCTGGTGTCCTGCTGGCTCTGTGGCATGTGTGAGCAACGTGTGATCCAGGTATCACACACAGGGACCAATCTGTTCTATTCAATTAAATATGTGTGTGTATCTCAGAGTGTATATGTGTTAGAGACAGACTTAGAGGGATATTATCTTTCCCTCTGCCTGATAGGTCTTTAGGATTCAGTGCATTTGCATTTTCCTTCCTTTATGATATCTGATAGGATAACCAGGAACGAGACGTTTTTTCTCAAGATTAAATCGTTGTGATTTGTCTTTAGACGCGACTCTTTAAACGCTCTGAACCTTTGCATGTTTCCCAGCAAACTGCCTCAGTTCTGAAATAACAGTGCCGCCACATGAATACTAACAACCTACTTCTGCATTTTCTATAAGTCACGACAAAGCTGGAGCGTCTTGGATCGCAAGGCTCAACGAGAGGTGGAAAATGGCTCTTGTCCTTCAGGCACATTTATCAGGCTCTCAAAAGAAATAGAAAAAAATATATATGTCAATCACATGCAGGAGGGGGAGAAAGGAGGACGGAGATTGACAGAGAGAGACGCGGAGGGAGACAGGCGGGAGGGGAGTCTCCTCGGATTGCAGGCAGACCCTGTCAGTCCCACAGGGCTGCAGGAACCAGGGATGTGTTGTTGACAGAGGATGGTTTATACTTTGAATTAGGGCTATCACTAAATGTAATTCTCCATTTCAGCTCTTTGTGGGTTGCTGCATGGAGAGAAGAATCAACTTGCATGACAGCGTTATTTATCTGACTTTTGTTGTCCCGCAGAGGAGTTTGCTCACGCATAAAAAACACAAACACAGATTAATCTCCGCCGTGGAGAATTATCAAGTGTCCTCTCACTGAAATGGCATTTGGGATTTCAATCAAACCTTTGTGTGTCGGTTGTGTGTTTGTGACTGCGAGCGTGAGTGTGTGGTTTCCCATGTGGATCAAATCAATCATCTGAACAAGAACATTAAATGGTCAACAGAAAGAGGTGCCAGCTGAAGAGGAAACTCTGATGTGTGTGTACTGTATTTGTATTGGGTTCCTATGGTAACTGTCAAGAGATAGCAGCAGTGCAGTGTGTGTTATGACTCCGCTGTGTGTACTCAAGGAGAAGAGTGTGATTAGAAAGGAAAAGGGAAGAACACAGGGAGGCAAAGTACACAGCAGAACTGAAATGAAAGTTTTGATAAGGAATATAAGAACTGTTTTTTTCTCGCCGATGACAGCAGAAGATTGACAGCTTCTCTTCTCATTACTTTGATACCCATCACGGATTTTAAACTCATTTTAAAAAAGCTGGAGAAATCATCTGTGGGTGTTTGCACCTGCTATATCTGACTGCTGTATATGGATTTTAATGACTACTTTTTTACGATGTTGTATTTTAGTGTTGCCTCTGTGTTTAGTGTCCTGTCTGTCTGTAACTTTGTGTGGTAGTGTTACCACTGACAGGTCTCTCTTGAAAATGAGACCTTGTGTCTCAATGAGATCTACACCTGTATAAATAAAGGCTAAATAAAAATTACTGTGTGTGTGTGTGTGTGTGTGTGTGTGTGTGCGTGTGTGTGTGTGTGTGTGTGTGTGTGTGTGTGTGTGTGTGTGTGTGTGTGTGTGTGTGTGTGCGTGTGTATAGCCTGCACTGACACAGAGCTCCACAGTTTGGCTGCAAGACTAAAGGACTGGTTTGGAGTTCTCCATCTTGACGCCAACAGAGACCTCAAATCCTCCGACAGCCTCGACGCTGCCACTGGACGTGAGTACATAACCCCACGAAATGTGTGTGTGTGTGTGTGTGTGTGTGTGTGTGTGTGTGTGTGTGTGTGTGTGTGTGTGTGTGTGTGTGTGTGTGTGTGTGTGTGTGTGTGTGTGTGTGTGTGTGTGTGTGTGTGTGTGTGTCTGTGTGTGGCAGCCCTTTCCTGTTGACAGCGCCACACTTTTCAGTCCTCGTGAGGGTTGCTGTTGACAGCGACCCTGCGATGTTTTCTGTAATGTCTGAGCACATGTCAGATGGGCCTCTGCACACACTCAGATTCACTCAGTTTGATACTTCAAAATGTTCCAACCTGTTCAATTTCATTATCTTCTTTTTCCTCTTGTAGATTTTGACACCAGCATCTTGCCCATCTGTAAGGACTCTCTGGGCTGGATGTTCAACAAGCTTGACATGAACTTCGACCTCCTGCTGGACCAATCAGAGCTGAGTGCCATCTACCTGGACAAGTATGAGCTGTGCATGAAGCCCCTCTTTAACTCCTGCGACTCCTTTAAGGACGGGAAGCTGTCTAACAACGAGTGGTGCTACTGCTTTCAGAAACCTGAGGGTGAGGAGGGGGAAAGGGCAAAAAAAAAATTGCTGGAAACGTTTAGATGAGAAAGGCAATAATGAGATGTAAAACCCTCCAATAATTTGAAACTCATGCATTAAAATAGAGAAATAAATTGGATGAAAATGTCCCAATAATGTCACAACACAACTAATGAAATACATAAACATTTCAATACTGGTACCTATTTCTTTGAAATGCGCATTGTATACAGAGATTGTGGTCTTTTAAGCGGATAATGAATTGAGAAATAAGCTAAATAAAAGGTAGACAGAGATTATAAATTGGAAGTCGATGAGAAGATGCAATTGAGGATAATGCTTGGAGAAATAAAAGGGTGTCCAATACAAGAAATCAATAAGATGTTAGTGTAGCGTATATAGAGCAGATGGTAAGACGGAAAAAGTGTTGTAGTTTCAGAAGAAAAACAAGCCCTTTTATTTAAAATGTTTTTGTGTTTTGGTTGTAGGACTGCCCTGCCAAGCGGAGAAGAGCAGGATCCAGAATCAGAGTCGGAGGAAGAGCCTCATAGGTCAGTCTGGATGATTGACAGCTGTCACTCACTGACTCCTACATTAACTCATTCATTGCAAACAAACAAACAGCCTAGCATTACCAGCTGTCACTTTTTCCAACTGTCTGGAGCAGAGAATATAAATCAGCAGCATTAAACAGACACCCACTATAAAGCACATCCTGACATTTTGTACACATTTCATCTGTCGCCTGCGGGCGGATCTTTCAGTCTGGCTGGGTCAAATGAAGGTAACAGAAGTAGGTGTGTGTGTGTGTGTGTGTGTGTGTGTGTGTGTGTGTGTGTGTGTGTGTGTGTGTGTGTGTGTGTGTGTGTGTGTGTGTGTGTGTGTGTGTGTGTGTTTGTTATTGAAAGTGACTGCTTCCCTTTAAGCAGGATGTATGGTTGTTGTCCTGCAACCTTCACAGCAGTAATGAATTGCCGATATCCCCCTCTGAATACATAAGAACTGTGGTCTCAACTACAGGAAATGAAGGATCACATTAATCTTCTGTTCTCCGCCCTTTTGTTTCTTGCTGTTTACTCTGTCTCACCTTTTATTCCCTTCTTCCATCCCACCCTTACTTACCATCTTTAGGCTCTTATATTCCCCGGTGTACTGAGGAGGGTTACTTCAAACCAACGCAGTGTCACAGCAGCACCGCCCAGTGTTGGTGTGTGGACAAATACGGCAATGAGATCGCTGGCTCCAGAAAACAAGGCAACCCCAATTGCGGTAAGTCCACACACACACACACACACCCATATGTTCATCTATAGCTTAACAAGGGGTATGGTTGTGTTGCAGAGCTCCCGTTTGAACATAACGTACCACTGAAACTTGAACAGTACCACAATATCTCGGTATCAGAGATCTACTCGCTTCCCTTCCTTACTATCTTTAGCGGTATCTAAACATCAGTAAATATTTATGAAATAGATAACATGCCTCTGGGGTTTGGCTGGTTTACTATCAGTCATGTGCCTGATGTTATCTGCCTCTGATATTCTGCTCATTTAGCTTTGATAAACACCAGCTTCCTGCAAGCCAAGTAAGAAACTGTCATCAGAGAGCAGCGTCAAAAGTTTGGTTGTTTTACATGAATTAAAAGCAATGACTGAGCAGCATCTTTTATAGGAGGGTAAACGCATGCTGCAGGCTGATGTTGGCATCCAAGGAAATGCATTCAAACAAGGAATATATATAATTAAGTGCTTTGATATGTCAAATCTATAGCTCCACCATAGCCAGGGGTAGATATTCAAAGGGAATGGTCAAAAAGCCAATAGAGGCACTTTGCTGCAAATCAATGGCCACAGGATTTCTTTGTGGAAAAGGAGAACAATAATTAGCAAGAAAGGATGGAGGCAGATATACTGATTACCAATCACACAGCCAGCTCGCAGTCACAGATTACGGCTCACTGGAATGCCAGTCTAGTCCAAAGCCAGTAATTGCACCTTCCAATATTGATGAGGTGTCTCTCCAGAGCCTGACACACACACACACACACACACACACACACACACACACACACACACACAACACACACACCACACACACACACACACACACACACACACACACACACACACACACACACACACACACACACACACACACACACACACACACACAAACACAAACAAACACACTGCAAACACACACATAGACAGCAACAGCCCTTTGTCTCCGGTCTAACAAGCTTAGGCTGCAGCAGCCTGGATCTTTTGTATTCTGCCTTGCAAAGAAAAAACTAGTAATGCAGCAGCTCTCCGTTCAGTAGTCTAAACACAAGGACACCAAACTGATTTTAACACTGTAAGTGCCACTCAGCCTGAGTACACTTGTACCTAGGTGTGAAAAGGCTGTTAGGAACTTAACTCAGAAGGATTTTAACGTCCCAATTCCACAAAATGCTGGAGGCTGCTGCCGAGATAATGACTGCTGTTTGCACAGTTACATATGCAAAAATGTTTGCAAATGTAACTTGATGTTACTAAGCTTTTAGCACAGATGCTGACTAAATATGCAACCTCTTGACTCTGCATTGTGATGTGTTAAATGGAGGATCAAAACAAAATAGAGTAAAGTTAAAAAATGGAGTCGGTTGGAGTCTGGCAGGGATGCAATGGAAGCACGGCTTAAGAGTCTACATGCTAGCAGCTCTGTTCGGCTGCTTTTATGCACAATGAGGAGCTAAATGCTAACACATTTAAGATTGGCTAGTTAGTATTTAACACAATGTATGATTGTGCTAAATAAAAGATTGCTATACATGCCAAAAAGGTATGTACAAACTTTGTGCCAGATAATATGATTTCCCTGAATGTGTGCAGAGTATACTAAGCTAGACAACCTTTAGCAAATCTCTCATGAACTGTTAAGGTCACATAGTCCCCGGCAGCATTTACCATCAAAGAGTGAGACCATGATCCACTGACCCCACATTAGTATAGTATGTCACAGTCTACACACTCAGGGATCCTGTGTTTTAACCTGTTTGCTTATCTGTGTTTTGTATCTCCCTACAGATGAGGACCAGGAGACATCGGGGGATTTCGGCAGCGGCGGTGCTGTCATCCTTCTTGGTGACCAGGAGGAGGAGCCATCACAGAGTGGGCGGAGCCGGCAGAAGAAGAGGCGGGGCCGGATTCACCCCCGAGGAGCCATCGAGGATGACGAGGACGAGGAAGACGATAAGGATGACGAGATTGGCTACGTGTGGTAGCTGCGCTTCATCTTATTTTGCCATCAGCCGACCAGGAATCTCTGTTAACTCAGCACAGATCTGAAGCCATTCCAATGTTCCCTCCTCCTCCTCCTCCTCCTCCTCCTCCTCCTCCTCCTCCTCCTCCTCCTCCTCCTCCTCCTCCTCCTCCTCCAGTTACTTTGGCAGCAGCTCATCTTTTGGCTCCTGAACTTGCTCTTGTGGTCCCTGTCTCTTATCCATGTGACTCTCTTCAGTAAACCTCATTAGACGTCTTGCTTTTGTGTTTCACAGACTCAAAACAGAAAACCTATTACATTTCACCAACAACTGTCAAGACTCTACTTGCTCCACTTTCTGCCTCTACCTTCCCCTAAACCTGTAATCATTGACCTCTTCTGAAATGGACTTCTCTATTTTCTCCAACGCTCCGTCTATCTCCTTCTTTCTCTTATCCTGTCCCTCTCTCCTGTCCCTGTCTGTCTGTTATGTCAGAGCCTCTGGTCAGTCTGTGAGCCCAGATACATAAGCTGATGTACCGGACGTTAATATGTTTCCTCCAGGTAGGCCAGATAGTGGACTGAACCCACCCTGTGCTTCATCAGCAGCCTCATACTCATGATTTGTGTTTCACTGTCGGGCTCCTTCCAGTGTTCAAAGATGTTCCCTCAACACGTTCCCAGGCTCTGAGATGCTCCCTCTCTTGCTGTTATTTCATGGAGGATTGCAAATTATTTAATCGTTGATCTTGAATGTCCCAGAAAGCCCAGGAAGCAATGAGACTAATGATGTATTGTCGTTGTTGTTGCATGTTTCTCATCGTGTTTCTGTAAAAGAGAGAATTACCTGGCCATGTCTAGCTCTATGCATCTCAAACAGAATGTGATGCCTATTTGGCTGCTACAATACTTTGTTGCTATGTTGATTCTGTCCAGTGTCTTTTTGGTTCTTCTCCCATTCTCAGGAGGTATAGGAAGTTGCATTGCAGAGCGATAGCACTAGAAAAGAGAACTGCAAGGCCTACAGTCCAAACGTGCGGCGTTTCAGCCAGCTTCTTTTGCTAATTGGTCAGTAGGGCTTCTGAGGCTGTTTGGCTGTGCACAGACACTAGAGGAAGAAGCTGCTCCTGAGCTGGGAGGACACATGAAGTCCGGCGAGCAGAGAATAGGCTCTGCTCCGCCTCACAACACTGGATATGTTCGTGATTTAAAATTGAAATCCTCACTATGTCAACTAAGTGAATTTTTATTTGTAACTTTGAAAATGTAAGTAAAGTGGCACTGTGGGTGTCTTTTGAACCTTAGGTCTGTGTCCATGTGTCTGTTGTTCTCTGGATGATCCGCACAAGCCTCACATTTCATCTTATTTCAACAAAGCATGATGAAATAAAAACACATCACTTTCCTCACTGCGAAACCACAACCACATTCATATGAGTTTCATATTGTTTTTGGTTTTATTGTCTCCGACGCTCGGTTTATCTGCAGTGGAACACTCAAAGCCCTCCCTCAATGCTGACCTTTCCAACCTTGAGAAAGCAGCCTCTCCTGTTAGAAGCAGACATAAATGGAAGCAGCACAAACATCTTATCATTTGCCTTTGAGAGAAGGAGAATCACAAAGCCAGCAGTACCCAAAAGAACATAAAAGCTTAATGAGTGTTTTTGTAATCTCACTGGCTAATGGGACAGCTGACCCCACTGGGTTAAAACAGCCCGCTCAGCACTTTGAAAACACATTGTACCAACAATCGAAGGCTAAAAGGACGACAGAGTCTTCTGCCTTGAAACAGCCTATTCAGCAGCTCACGCACACTCTGTCAGATACAGTAGGCGATGGCTTTAACTATGTGCATTCATTCAGTTATGCCAGTAGTTTGGTGGGGTATAATTACTAAATTCTGGGACCCTGGTTAGTGCAGGGTCTTCTGTCGTCATGACAAAAGCTGTGAAGAAAATCTCTCATCCGCTCACTTTCATTACATGCAGTGCTGCCTTTTTATCTGCATTGAATCTGGCATTTTCCTTTACCTTGCATAAATTATGGAACCAACTTCAAATTATTCCTTGAACTGGAGATGTATCTCATAAGTTAGCATATTCGTTGTCTTTTCCTGTCTTTTTAAAAATGTTTTGAAAACACAGCTTATATCTCCTTCAAGACAACCTTGGCCAGTTTTGTGTTTACACTTATCCTAGGTTTATTTGTGAAGATTGTAAACACTCTCATGGGTTTTCGGTTAATATGAATCCCCCACCAGCAACCGGCTAACTTAAGGGAAACGGCTATCCTGCTCTGTCCAAAGAAAACAAAATCCACCTAACAGACCTGTTACAACACACTATAGCTAACACCTTATATCTCCTTTTATTTTTATTTATGCTAAGTGAAGTTGGCCTGTAGCTTCATATTTGCACACGATCCCAGTTCAGAGAAAGGGATGACTGGTGGTTGTACCCATAATTCACAAACTCTCACACACACACACACACACACACACACACACACCCACAGTCATTATTGTTTATATTGCGCTCTCCCACTCACTCTCCTGGAGTGAGCTCCGTCTTCAGCTCTGTTAGGGAGATGCATGGTTGTGTTTTATCCGCGGGGCACTTTGTTCCTCTGGTTCATTTCTCTACTGGCTGTTTTTGTATTATCCACAGATGACTTCCCTGTCAGGTGGATTCAGACGGAGTCTCCATGGAGACCGGTGATTGGCTACCAGCGGGGAGTTTTACACATCGATGGTCCATTTTCGGGACGAAATAAAGCAGCTTGATAGTATTTGATTTAATTTGAGATGCTGTTGACTGGTCTTGGTATTGAGTGTTCTTTAAGAAGGACTTTTGTGTTTTACATTTTTAAAGTTGTAATTGTTTCTTACCATTTCTAACTTTCAGAACCGACACAATGTCAGACCAGTGTTAAACACACTGCACTACTCTTGGATGTTACTTAAGTAAAAGTACAAAAGTATTAGCATCAAAATATACGTAAAGTACTAAAAGTGAAAGTACTCATTCTGCAGATTGGTTCTGCTGCTGTAGCTGAAAACTACTGATAGTATGAAGAATAACCCTAACCTGGCAAGTTATGGGCTACAAACCAAAACAATAAACTGAATGATACTGAAACGCTCCTTCTCTTGCGTTAGGTCATACCCCCCTTCCCATGCTATTTTTGGTCAAAATTGACCGGTGTGTTTTGCACAGTGATATCTCTAGAACCCCTTATCCAATTTTGATTGTTGACATCTCATTTGAACAGTCAAAGCAAGTAGAATCAAGGGGTGACAGACAGAATGACACCAGGGGTGAATTTCATATTCTTTTTGGCAGTAAGTTCAAAGATAGTGCTTATTTTACATTACTGTATATTATAAAAATGCTTGCCATGTAGGCTGTGTTTACTGGAGATGGAAATGATTTAGTTAGTGTTGTAGCTGAGAGTCTTCCCGTTCCAATTATGTATGGGATGTATTGATTTGATACAAGCAAGCCAGTGTTTCATGTCATGGTCCGGACCCTCCGGTGGGCCCATCAAGTTCAGCATTCACTGTGATGAATATAAAATAAGACACTGATACTGTTTTCCCCAATGAACATGTATTGAAAGAGAAATATACCATAACAGAACATATGTGTGTGTGTGTGTGTTCACGTGTGTTCACGCACATAGTTGGCAATGCAAAATTGTGGAATGTCACCTCAGGGGCCTCTATCTCAGGGGCCTCTCCTTCAGGGGCCTCTATCTCAGGGGCCTCTCCCTCAGGTGCCTCTTCCTGGTCTGTTGTAGGCTCATAGTCTGGATCGCTGTTGTCTTCCATTTCTGAGACATCTTCCTCTATCTCCTCTTCATCTGGTTCAATCTCCTCTTCATCTGGTTCAAAAATGTGTCCAGAGCCCCTCGTACAGAAAATCGCCTAATCGGTCAGTCGCCTGCTCATTGTGTCAATGAGTCAAATGTGAGCAAGGCACAAATATAACTGCTTGAGAGCCAGTAAGGAAGGCGCATTTAGCACGAGAAAGTGAGACGTTTGTGTTTCTCGAGCGGCACAGAGCTCGCACCTGTGAGAAGGTATATGATACATTGTATCATACGGCGCGAGAAAGGGAGAAGTTCCCGTAACGTGTGTGTGTATATATATATGTTTTCCATCTGCAGGATGAACATAATACACTCATACCCATTAATTTTCTATGGCGGTCAAATCTGACCGAAAACGTCAAGGGTGTTTCACTGTTGAATAAATGACTCAAAATGCAATGCAAGTGGTGATCATCAAGTGTATATGTTCAGAGGCCTAGTGTGGAGGATAACATAAGGTATTGAGGCAATTGGATGAAAAACACAATATTTATGATTAAAATAAAAGTAATTCGGTCGCTTTTGACCCGAAACGCAAGAGAAGGGTTAATAGTGAGGGGGATCTGCTGGATGTGAAGATAATATACTGTGGGATCTTTAATATGAGTCATTTCAATCCATTATTAATATGAAAATATTGATTTTAGCATATTAAAACCTATTCATCAAAATACTCCTCCTACGACGAAAAGCTTTAGCTAGACTGCATCATCTTAATATGGAGAAGCTAAGAGCACTTAAATGAAAAAGACCAGGCTGATTATGGAGTCTGCTCACAGTTTCATTTAGCCTGCCGATCATATGTGCCAAGATTGCCACTTAGCAGGTTTGAAGTCCAAGTGGCTCTCCAGTCATCAGGGTCCAGAGGGCTGCCGGTTCTTCCAGGTAGTTTTCATTCTAGTTGTATGATCAAGGACCGATTTAGACCCGCAACCACAGGGGAGTGCAATTAACTACCTGACAGAAGAGGAAATCCTGCAGTGCTCCGGGGCCTGAGGACCAGATTTGAGGATCACTGGTCTAAAGCCTGCCTATGTAATTGGCAAAGACATTGTAATAAGTAGGGATCATCTCTTTAATCTGTCACGGCTTGCCACTTCCACTCACTCTCTGTCATGCTCTGCTTCCGCTGCAGCAGCTCGGTGAGCGTGGCTGCAGATCATGCCCCCAGGTGGAGGTTTTCTGGATCATTCACTTTGGATATGGTAACCAACAGCACTGTTCCAAATGTGCAAATTTAGAGAGAGATCATACCGCTCTCGTTAATACTCTGCCAGTGAGGTCCCTCTGATAGCACTTAATTGCTGGGTGTAGCCCTTTGCTAAATAAATTAAACAGGAAACTATTCATAAGCGGCTCCAGTGGCTTCCCTGCTGGCAATGGTGATACATTAAATTGAAACTTTCAGGGGAGCAGTCATGCGAGACCGAACCACATTATAAGCAGTCACATTACCCTCAGACCAATATTTGCATTTACCTATTTGGGTTTTCTAATTCATTTTTTTTCTGATTGCTCGTTCCCAGCCATGTCGTTTTTTAAGCTACACAAATTTGACTTGAATGTATAATCATAGTGTGTGACACCAGTGCCCTCTGGTGGTCTAATCCAGCTGGCTGCATGTACTTTTTAATAGAAATCCTGCTCTGCGGGGGTCTGGTAGGAGTTAAGGACGGAGACGATATAATTGCAATACCCCTGCTATCAGCCTGGCAGTGGATCTTTTTTGCACGTCGTTCACCCATTTCTCTCTCCCTCTACTTTCCTGTCAGCTCTTTAATAAAAGAATAAAGGAATACAAAAATATACAAATAAGCCTTGAGAGCAACATGTATTTATTATCACTATCATTATACAATGTCCTTTTTTTAAATTTAAATATCTATTTACAATTGCATAAGTGTAGTGGTTAACATGGACTCAAACACATGGCCAAAGCATGGGGTTACAGTTTGCATAATAAAGGCACTTTCTGAGGATGAAAGGAACACACATGATGAACATGGTCTTATTTGTGTTTCTTACATTTTGTTTCTTGTAGAATCAGAGGTTTGGAAGGGAAGACCTCCTTGTCTTAATTTCGTATAAAACACTTTGGGGTATGGCTGTAGATTAAAGGCACAGAAGTAAAAAAATGTTACATAATGTTTGCTGCTCTTCAGGCAAATATAGGCTTATCCAGTTATGGTGACTAACTAGCAGGCCTCTGCACTGGCAACAGCATCACTGTTTAATTTCTTAGAGGCTGAATTTCTCCACGTCAGTTGGATGGAGCTCAGTGCTGGTGGGGGTCTCCTCTCACCAGTGATTACTCTGAGCAGCCACTTCTAGATCAATGATTGGCGGTAGTCGACCGCTGGCCCCGCCCTCCAGGTATCCAGGCTTCACAGCAGGTGTGTCTGAGAGCCTCATCTTGCTCTTGGTCAGGTCTGGACAGGAAGAGAAATAACTTAATAGTTTCACAAGAGGACAGATGGAGAAGCAGCTCTGAATCCAAGCTAGGATGTCCGGTTCTCACCTGAGATTGCCAATAACATCTTGCGTCTCGCTCCAAAGGTGGAGATGCCCACTTCCTTCAGATCTTCATCCGACAGAGTGAGGAAGGTCAGGTAGTCAATCTGGATGAGTACAGATAGCAGTGGTGTTACAGTTAATGCTCATTCATGATGCACTTTTCGTTTAAGTGTGTGTGGCTGTTTTGGCTTGGATTCCTTCATGTATGTTCCCATAAAACCAAACTGCACTTGTTTTTCCCTGGATTTAATTTTTTTGATGTAACACAAATGCGTAAAATCATATTCCAGGTGGCAAAGCTATAGCTGGAGGGGTGGCTGAATCTAAAACCGCTGTTAATGTCCCGTGTAAAATTAAGGTTAATCTATTTTAATATACATCTTAATATACAACTATTATTAATCACATGTTTAGACGCGAGTGTAATCCGGAAAGAATACACTTCCCTTAACATCTTATTGTGAAGGCTGTTTAGTTACATTGAAACATAATTTTGTAGGACACAGTGGTTTGTTTATATATTAATTATATTATATGTATATGTTTGTATGTTTAAAGCTCTTGACCCAGTTCTCCCACACAGCGTGTTAGTGATAATGAAGAGGTATTTCCCCTCACTAATAACGTTTTTTTAGAAATGAATGTGTTTACCTCTTGTTGTTCAAACACATCGATGTATTTGATTAGTCCAAGTTGGCTGAGCAGCTCCGGCAGGTCATCTATCATCTGTGGGGAGGGGCTCCGCTGGCTGCAGGTCGACGCCCTCCTCGACGAGCACCCACCTTCAAAGTAGCTGCTGCTGCTCGGGAAGCTCTCCGCTGGACATTAAAGGTCAGAGGAAGAGGTTAAAAATGGCGGGGAGAAAGGCGACACACTGTTTTGTTGAACTTAAACACACTTAGGACTTACAGGGTTTGTCATTTCTGCTTCTATTCATTGAGGATACAAATGCAGGAAAGGAGGATGAGGAGGAAGTGAAAGTAGATGGGGGTGAGGAGGGGGAGGAGGATAAAGAAGAGGAGGAGGAAGACACAGGCAGGGATGAAGATGTGGATCCATGTCTGTCCCTCCAGTTCTCACAGTTGCTCCGGTTGAACACCTTCCCCATCTGAGCAGCCCATGGCTATAGGTGACAAAGAGAAATTGTAACGGCATTAAATATAAAGCGGTTTCAAATATTTCACAGCATCACCTTGCACTACTGTCCCCATCCCATTCCTTTGTCTCTCTTCTCTTTGTCAGTGATACAGGTCATAAGTCAAACAGTTTCAAGTGATCACATCCTCTTGTGTGAGAGGGTTTCAGTGGACACACAGCCATAGATCCAAATATTTAACAAGAGATCTGCCCCTGTGTGCAAACGCTTCCTCCCAGCTGCCTGGGTCTCAGAAGAAAATTGAACCTATTGAAGGAATGCCTTTTGCTCTTATTAACTTAAGTGAGAGTGGGTTTATATCACTGGCTATAGAGCAGTAAGTATGCAGCCATTCAGGAGGCTTGAGAAGAGAGAAACAGCTCAGGTAAACAGGTTGCTAAGAGGTGGCTGTGTTGACTGAAGCGATGGTATCAAACCCAACGAACTGAATGGAACGAACAAATTAGCAAGTCCAGTAAAGTATATAAATCAAGTCTTAAAGTCCATCTTGTTTCAGTTGTTTAAAGCAGACACTTACTTGTGCCTGTTGGTGGCTGATGCTGCTGCTCAGGTAGGGTTTGTAGCTGCGGCGGCTGATGTTGCGGAGCTCTTTGATCGCCTCTGCTGGCATGGACTTGGAGAAGCCGAGGCCGCTCCAGGTGTCTGTCGGCTTTTGGACCTCTGTGACCACAGGCTTTCTCAGCATGGCTGACACAACACAGACAAACACACACAGAAGGATACAGACTTAAAACCAGCATTAGCTGACTTTCTTTGCCACTTTAGGGCAGCTGGTACAAGCTAAAAATGCAACACCGTCATATTGATTTTTCCACAGCGGAAACTAAGAGTCGTTTTAAGTTGTATTTCTAGCGACTTTTAAATCAAGTTTTCTTTCAAATGTGCTGCTCCCTGCCAACTCCTGAGAGAAATATGTGGCTCATAAAGTGTTACATGTTCCACTGAGTTCATCAGCTGGTCTCAACCTTGTCTGTCTGATGACTGGTGATGGATAGGTTGCAAAAAGTGGGTTCATTAAGGGTATTACTAGAAACAGCTGCAACCAGAAACAACACTGATTATATGTGTTGAGAAGGAACTAACAGAATATTTTGAAAAAAACACAGAAATGCTTTTCATTGAAGGAAACTACAGTGGAGTGGTTATCATTTTTAGTTTTGTCACTATGAGTGTCTACTGTTACATTGCACATACTTCCTCACTTGATACATTGTTAATATAGGTTCTAGCAGCTTTAAGGTCAAATATTGAAATGAGCAGATACTTTCATAAAAACTGTACTTGACTTTAATGCATAGCCTTAGTCCGCCTATTTTAAAAATGCATTGCAGGTTTTTCATGTCTCCTCCGATAGTGTAAATTGGACAAGCTTGGCTCAGGTGTTGAATAATGAATCACACACAGTGCCTCTCCTTGCCAGCATGTGGCATACCTAATAAAACCTAATTTCGCTGAGACAGATACACACTCTTAAACGACCAACAAGTGACCCTGGGCCTCTTCTGACAGTCGAACAGATCCATGTGTCAATGTGTGATAATAAACTGCAAAGTGCAATATCAATAGGATTATTACTGGTGGGTTATCACACGTGTGGTATGTGTGTGTTTGTGTGAGTAAATATCCCATTCATATACTGGCATATGGGTGTCTTAATGACTGTGAGGCAGATGGCCCATTCAAACTGCTCATTCATAATGGCGGAGAGAATTTAGTACCATTTGGCTGCTGATCTTCCCAGTATCTCTCATTCTGCATGATGGATGAGGTTCTGTTTTCTGTGTGTGTGTATGTGTGTGTGTGTGTGTGTATGTGTGTGTGTGTGTGTGTGTGTGTGTGTGTGTGTGTGTGTGTGTGTGTGTGTGTGTGTGTGTGTGTGTGTGTGTGTGTGTGTGTGTGTGTGTGTGTGTGTGTGTGTGTGTGTGTGTGTGTGTGTGTGTGTGTGTGTGTGGCCTAGCATTAATATACTTATGGGGACCTAAATCTGTTTACACAGTCACGTGTGGGGACTCGCCTCCCTTATGGGGACAAATTGGAGGTCCCCATGAGGGGAATCATTCATTTTAGGGTGAAAACTTGATTAGGTTTAGGATTAGGGTAAGGTTAAGGGTAAGGGTTAGGCATGTGTTGGTTATGGTTAAGGTTAGGATAAGTCTCCAGGAAATGCATGTAAGTCAATGTAATGTCCCCTGAAGTGATGTATACATGGTATGTATGTGTGTGTGTGTGTGTGTGTGTGTGTGTGTGTGTGTGTGTGTGTGTGTGTGTGTGTGTGTGTGTGTGTGTGTGTGTGTGTGTGTGTGTGTGTGTGTGTGTGTGTGTCTGCATGCAAGTGTGTGTGTGTTGTCAGCATAGTGTATCTAACCCGTGTGAATCTAGTAGCAGTGCCAGTGCTAGTCTATTATAACGCTGGCACAATGCATCCCATAAACAGGTCTCCTTCATCAGTTGTGTTGGCAGCGAGCGGCACTGAAATGAGTCGCCTCCATCAGAGCCTGCCTCTGCTCGGGATATTAATGTGTTGCCTCCATAACGCACTTGAATAAAACAAATAAGCTACTTCATCCTGTATAATCATATGACATTAAATCCTGTTTTCTCAATGATATGACTAAAAAGTATGCATAAATACAGCAAATTAAACAACCCTCTTCATTTTGTTTTGTTTGAGGAACTGAGATAAAGTGCTTCTCCAATCTGTGCCCAGTTTACCTCCAAAAGCAACAGATTGGTTATATATAGGAGGCTTTTCATCAAGCCAAAGATAAGCATGTTGGGCCAAATGTGTTTTTAATATATTTACCTGCAGCATACAGCAACGATAGATCAATAAAGAGTATAAATGCTTGCTTAGCAGTGCCCTAGTTGTCGCAGCCGTCTGTGCAGACCTCTTGAAAGCGCACTAAGACAGGAAGAAATATTAAACATTCAGGAGCACTAACCTCTGTTTGCCAGCAGTTTCTTCCTCTCATAGTCATAATCCTACAAAGCACAAACAGGAAATGGAGTGGGTAAATAATGCATGAAATAGAATATTTGTTTCTCTGCTTACTGGGCACAGGCAGGGGCACCGAACACTTTCTGCTGCTGCGGCAGTAAACCTGCTAATCCTCCGCTCAGTAACCTTTGAAAGTGAGGGATGACAAATGCGAAGGGAAGCAAACAAACACAAACATCGATTCTAAGATCAAATGTGCACCATGGCCAGGGATGTGCAAATCAATAGGTTACATATCATCACAAATCAAATGTTACAGCTGGTTTTAATCTATCAGGCATTACAGACATGTTCAGGAGATTAATCGTGTTTCTCTCCCTGGCATACACTCTTTTCATTGTCTCTAAAACAACAAAGATGTTCATTGGTTCAAAATTACCTAATTTTCTTTCCAAAAAGATTAATTTGTAGCAAAATAAGGTTGACCATAGGAGCAGTTCATCATTTCATGTAGAAACTGGCAAAAGAGAGACCTGTCCAACTCCGTTTTTTTCTAACCTCAGCCGTGTATGACTCAGTGCGAAAATCCTGAGCGTGTGTCATATCTCTCCTCAGGCTGTTCCTCCGCTCACTCCTCCCTCCTTCTATCTCTGCGCTCAGCAATCTGGCACATTCAGGACACACACACACACACACACACACACACACACACACACACACACACACACACACACACACACACACACACACACACACACACACACACACACACACACACACACAGAGAGTCAAGGTTAGTTTAGACTGGTATGGCTATACTGTATGTCCAACATTTGAGAACTTATCAGCACTTCCTCTACTGCAGCAGAAATACTGCAGTTTCAGAGACATGATGCTATATAATTATGGATTATATTAAAAGAGAGCTGCTCTACTTGAAACTGCAGTGCAACGTTTTTTTGATCCAGAGAACCACGTCGACTCAGCGAAAAGTAAATAGAGATGAGGTCAACACGATTTCTTTTCTCCAACTCCGTTCTCTGTGTTAGCAAGATTTATAGATGTGGCATATGCAGGTGTGTGTGTGTGTGTGTGTGTGTGTGTGTGTGTGTGTGTGTGTGTGTGTGTGTGTGTGTGTGTGTGTGTGTGTGTGTGTGTGTGTGTGTGGTCTAGCATTACTATACTTGTGGGGACCTACATCTGTTTACATAGTCACGTGTGGGGACTCGCCGCCCTTATGGGGACAAATTGGAGGTCCCCATGAGGGGAATCATTAATTTTAGGGTGAAGACTTGGTTAGGGTTAGGATTAGGGTTAGGGTAAGGGTAAGGGTAAGGTTAAGGGTAAGGGTAAGGGTAAGGGTTAGGCATGTGTTGGTTATGGTTAAGGTTAGGATAAGTCTCCAGGAAATGCATGTAAGTCAATGTAATGTCCCCTGAAGTGATGTATACATGGTATGTGTGTGTGTGTGAGAGAGAGAGAGAGAGAGAGAGAGAGAGAGAGAGAGAGAGAGAGAGAGCGAGAGAGAGAGCGAGAGAGAGAGAGAGAGAGAGAGAGAGAGAGGAGAGAGAGAGAGAGAGAGAGAGAGAGAATTAGCCACAAGGTCAACCACTTATTTTAGGTTATGATTTTTTTGGTCTAAGTGACTCTTAAAATGGCTGTAAGTCATCAGGGATCATTGTTAGCCAACACAGTGACCTCACAAGTGACCTTAACAAGTGTTTTTCACCAGTGAATGCTCACCTGTATGTTAGCGCCTGCCCTGTTGAGTGGCGTCTGCCCTGGGTGAAAACCTTGGTAGCTTCGGGACCCTGGAGGCTGCCCCTCCGCCCCATCCTGCTCATGTAGCTGACTGCATCACACCCCTCAGATGACATTGGCACGTCATAAGCGCTGTCATCATCTGATTGGCCCGACTGGTCCTCATTTTCTAGGATCTGAAGGAGACCAGAGAATGTAGTTCTTTGTGTTAATTTTCTATTAAGATGTATACATTAGGAAGAATTCGTTTTTGACTGACAGCAGAATAGTTTAAAAATGAAAGTTGTTTTAAAGGAGTGACAAACCTTCTCCAGTGGCCGGCTGTCTGTTCCCTTGAGTCCTATCCTCCCCTCGTCAGCATGAGGGGTGAGACCCGGTGGAGGTGAGGGGCGGGTCTTGGAAAAAGTCTGCACCTCTGAAGGGGGAGCTAGCCCAGAGCCTGATCAAAAAGAGGGGAACTGTACTTAAAGAGGTTTGCGTTCTCTTTTTTTTAAACCCGAAACCAATTTGTAGCAACTTGATAAGAGGAAAAAACCGTTTTAAATAAGTTGTAAATGTTTTTGCTTGAAAGTCAGTGCAACCTATTTCCATGACATTTGGATGAAACACACCTTCACAGATTGATAGATATGTGCGCTGCTCACCCTGCTCGGAGAGACGAAGCTGCTGCAGCAACATGTTGAGCCAATAGCTGGTCAGCCCGCTGCCGGCCAGCATGGGGTCAGAGGTCAACTCGGTTACCTTGGCTATCTCACAGGAATCCAACCCCAGGAGCAGACGGCGAGCCTCATAAAGACAGGAGATGTTTCTTTCCAGACCTTTCACCACCACTGACTGATAAACAATACAGAGTTTTAGTATTCAACACAATACAGAAATATTTCAATAAACATGTCGTATCAAATCCATCGAGTATTTCTATTAGCTGCTCGTTGACTTTATAGCCCTAGATTCAAGGAGAATTTGAAAACATGAGACTTGTAGGCAACAAACAACACGATTAACATTTCACTCGAGGTCAGAGTTGATTTTAACAACAAGAAAGCAGTTGTACCTTGCTGGTCTGTTTTACTTTGGGCTTGACACTAATGAAGACTCCCAGGCTTTGCATCATCGGAGCCAGTATACAAGGATCTGCCTCCCCATCTTCACGCATGTCAAACATCAAACACACAGGCAGACAGTCCTAGATGTGCACAGATAAATAATGTGAAATAACAACAGATAAAGAAAACACAAAAAAAAGATTGACATATGCAAGCAATCAAAAACAAACAAATGCACCTGCCTCCTCTCAGGATTGATGTTTAGCATAACTCTACCTGAACAAACCCCCCACACCCCACTGTACCATGAGCTGCTGCCGAGCCAGACACACTCCGTCAGGGTTGCCCTGGATGAGCAGAGAGGGGGGGCTCTGAGGAGCGCTCAGGTCGGGGAGGATGATCTGGGTCTGGGTCTGGTGCATGACGCTCAGGAAGTGAGATCCGTTCTGCCCCAGCAGGAAGAGATGCTGCTGGGAGGTGACATCCATCTGACTGCTCACCACACCTCCTGTGACCTCTGATCCCAGCAGCAGGTCCATCAGGATGCAGGTCGCCTTCTGCCAGCGGATGATAAATACATAAATGAAATTATATTAAACATTGGAAAACTCTTAGTTATCCCATCTATCCGAAACAAATTGATCGCAATAAGGCTTCATTCACTACTAATTGAGAGATTTGCCAGAGATGGCAAAAATACACACATCCTTTACTGAAGTACAGATACTCGTGTTTAAAAATACTCTGGTAAACGTAGAAGTACTGACTAAACTTCTTTACTAAACTAAAAGTAAAGAAGTATGGACTTTGAAATGTACTTAAGTAAAAAGTACCCATCACTACCAACTGTTTTAAAGAGTACCTGACCTCCCTTTATATTAATAGAACAATAATGTCATTGTTAGCTAATGAATGTTTCGATGCTGAACAACTGCAACATGACAACGTTTTCATTGGTCCCTCTTCTTTAGAGAAGACCAGGAAATGATGGATACACGGATCGTGTTAAAATCAATAGGCACGCAATGACTCTAAATAATAATGATCACGCCACCAAACACACATTCAAACTAAAGGACCAGCCTGTTTGGAAAATGTAAGAAGTAGAAAGTACAGGTATTTGTGTTAAAAATGTAAGAAGTAAAAGTAAAAGGTTGTCAAAAAAATAAGTAGTGGAGTAAAGTACTGATACCAGAAAAATGTACTTAAGTACAGTAACAAAGTATTTGTACTCCACTACTTCCCACCTGTGATCATAATAATCATCAGCTTTGAACTTACACCGCATTCTGATGTGTATAAACTGTCAACTGGAATAAATGTTTCCCTAAAAGGTTTGAGACTAACCTTGACAGCAGCTGCGTTGCCCTGCAGGCCCCAGACGGTGCAGCAGCTTTCATAGAAGCTGGGCTGTGCCTGGGGGTGAGGTGGCATCGCCCTGAAGCTCACGCTGACCCCCAGGGTCTGCACCACCTGCTGGATGAGAGGGGACCCTGCATCTGGCAGAGCCTGGGGAACCAGGCTGACTGGGAGGTCAAAGGTCAAGGACAATGGCTGCAGGTCCTAGGATGGTAAACAAGAGTTTGTTGGAGATGAGGTAACACAAAAACAAGAGGCAAACACAGAGACGTATGGCAGTGGCTTTCTGACAGATAGACGTGTATTTTTGTGCCAGCTACTCTATTAATCATGTTATTGATTTCTGTGCCCTGACAGGAGTGAAGAAATTGAGTTTTGAGACAAATCAAAATGTATCCTGGGTAGTCTCTGCTCAGCTTGTACACGGATCACTCACTCTGATCCTCCTCCTGGCTTCCTCCACTCCCTCTATCGGCCCAGCGATGGACACCTGGTAACAGTTGAAAACAATGTGATATTTTAATGGATTAGGTTTATATTCCTTAGACTGATTGAAATGCTGCATTAATGTCTCTACATAGATCGTTACCTGGTTGCTTTTCTCTCCTGAACCGTTGTGTCGGTTGGAGTCGGGAAAATGGATGTGGCAAGATGTGACCTCCATCACCTTTTTGATGTTCCCACCGCCTTTCCCAATCACGTGGGAGTGCTCTGTGTAGGCCACGTCCATCTTTAGCGTCACCTTGTTGACCTGGATTTTATTTAAACACTTTTATATAACTTTTCAGATTGGAATGGAGATTAAACGTGATGTGATGTGTAACCGCGGCCGCGCACACGGCGGAAAGTGTAGCTGTTCTACTGATCAAAGTTGCCCTCTGACTCAACTTTGATCAAACAGCAAAAACTCCACAGATTCAATTTGAAAGAAACACGATACAGTTGGCAGTCAACAAAAAGGCCTAAGACAAGGATTTTCCCCCAAGAGTATGACATTTATTATCAAATAGACACATTTACAAACAATATTTTAAATCAGTAAAAACAACAACAATTTATTAGGAATTCATCTACTATGCTATTTAAAATGGTATCCAGCGTATAAAAAACGGCTAAATGAGCGCAGACAGTTACTATTGGGAGGGGGAAACAAGCAGGTCAAATCTGAATACTACTCACCGCCACTCACACGTGCCCTGTACAGACACAGCAACTGAAAAGAAAGTGATAAATTAAGAAAAGTGCAAAATTAACTAAACACACACACACTTAAGGGGCAGTGAAGTGCACGTGAGGGCCTAACACCACTGAATCCCAACTCCCAAGGCTGCTGCTCACGTCAAGGGTGCTGGATCCCTCAACAAAAGACACAAAGCACAATAGTACATCAATTCATTGAGATAGTAAAAACACTAATACTCTTGGGAGATTAGGAATTGGAGCAACAATGTAAACAAAAGCATCAAAACGAACAACTATAACAAACCAAAATAAGGGAAACAGAACGGTAAAACAAAACAGCAGTGGCGGACAATCTTATGTCTCTCGGACGGCGCAGCCCCTCTCCCAACAGTAACTGTCTGCGCTCATTTAGTCGGTTTTATACGCTGGATACCATTTTAAATAGCATAGTAGATTAATTCCTAATAAATTGTTGTTGTTTTTACTGATTTAAAATATTGTTTGTAAATGTGTCTATTTGATAATAAATGTCATACTCTTGGGGGAAATCCTTGTCTTTGGCTTTTTTGTTGACTGCCAACTGTATCGTGTTTCTTTAAAATTGAATCTGTGGAGTTTTTGCTGTTTGATCAAGTTGAGTCAGAGGGCAACTTCGATCAGTAGAACAGCTACACTTTAGGCCGTGTGCGCGGCCGCGGTTACAGATGCAAACGGCAGCTGCAGAGTCTCTGCCTCCTACAACTTACAACCTACAAAAAAGATTTCCCAAGTGACTTGCTATAAAAGGAAGAAGTAACAAATTGGAAAACATGTAAAAGCACATCATCATCTCCATTGTTGAGATAGAAAGCACCAAAGCACTCACCCTGGTTTCCAGCACTTCTAGTATCTTCTTTTTGGCTTCCAAAACATTGGCTCTCTTCCCCTCCACCTTCACGTGTGGATCTTGATGGGAACAGAAGTTCAGTGAGAGTTCATTACAAGTGAGTTTGTAACAGTCAAGGTGCAATAGTATGGGAACAGGAATCTGTGACAGGAGGGAGTGACAGAAATATCAAGAATGTGTCACCTTTCTTTGACTTGGCTCCAATCTTCAGCTTGGATGGCCATTTCACCTGAGTGTCAGTTTCTCTCATCACCTGTTGAATCACAGACAATAGGAAGGGTGAGGAAAAAAGAAAGGCTCTCATTGTATGCCACAAATCACATACAATCAGAACACACACACAGACATAAACACATACAGACACACATCAGACAGCTTCGTACTAAGAATACAAAGCCTCGTTTGCATTTCAAAGACTGCAATTATCTCCTCCATAAAACCAGTAATCACTGGTTGCAGAGTATGGAACAAATATTAGAGCGGTGGCTACTCATACTGCTTTGTAAGCTACATTTAACCAATGCTTTCCGCACTGATGATTATCCGTGGCTTTCACAGAGGAAGGCAGCTGGGTTTTCATTTGGTTCATGATCGAAATGTTTCCTGTTGTGGATTTCTACTTACTCTCTCAAAAAACCCCTCTCCTGTCTCCCCATCTCCATGCTTGGGAGCTGAAAAACAAATAAGAAGCAAACTTGAAAAACACATAAACCCACATTTTAAAATGCCTGCAGTGCGATTTGTCACGTTGTGTTGTTCGGCAGCCCCAGTGTTCAATATCAAGCATGTGTGCAGAGTCAACACTTAAATGTTGACTTGTTTGAATTTTTCCAAGCGACAGGAACAAGAGGTTGCCGGGAACATAAACAATTTTAAAAGGCCATCGCTCCACAGTGACATTTACAGGGTACAGAGGGGGGGTTGGCTCGAGGAACGCCCTCATCACTATGGGTTACGCTGGCCAGAGCTGGGGAATGAGAAGAGAACAGTGCAGGGTGGAGAGGGAAGGTGGTGCTGGTTGGGGGGGTAACCACAAATTAGCCTAGAGACAGCTAATCACATCAATGGCATTTGCTGACGTACAGACCTCCCACTCGACCAAAACATTCAATAACAACTGCAAGATCAAAAAGGAATGTGTAAAACAAATTTAAGAAAGGGGGCACTGCTCAGCCTATCAGAATGGAGTCTGGAGTGCAGTCGTACAGGTTGTATCCTTAATAGATGAGATGCTCAAAGAATCCCACATGCACCGAATTCCCTTTCCCATCAAGCGTCTGCTGCGAGAGGACAAACAGACAAACATCAGCCTCTATCTGCACAGGACACACACAGTTTCCCCAGTAACACAAGGGAGGCATTTGTCATAAACCTGCCACGCAGCGATAACTAAAGGAAGCAGTTACCTCTGCTTCCCAGACAGGAATGATAATAGCAGAAAAAGTATTTTGGATGCATAAGCCATTGCAGGTCATAAATCCTGGTGATACAGCAGCAGGGGTTTGGTGCATGGCAGTTATACTAATGGAGACAACAAGGACGCAGCAAGCTGGAGGCCCTGACAGACACACAGGGTCAGGGAGATAACACAGGTAGGCTGTGACGAGCTTCACTAACAGAATAAATATCAGGAAAGCAGCTTATGGAGAGGAGTGAAGTCGATATCAGTGCCAGTCTGCATGGTATTTACAGTAATATGAACATCTCAACTCACTCACCATACAACATGTTCTCCAGCTTCTTCCTGTCGATCCTGAACCTCTCCTCCACCCACTCCGGGTCCAGACTCTGCTCTCTTGCATTCTCCTGCCCCTGCGCTGAACTTCCACCTACTTCCTCCTCTTCCTCATCCTCTTTCTGCTCTCTGTTGGGT